TTGGTAATGCACACGTTGAATGAATAATTCTAAAATATACATTCAATTAAGCGAATTAAATTACAAAATTTCACATTGCAAAATAATTATTATTCATATATCTATTTATCAAATATTTATTTTTAGTATATTTATCTTTTAACTTTTTTTGCCCAAAAATTTAACAATTGTAAAATTATAAGTGATTTAAAATAAATTTAGATACATTAAATCTCTTCTTTCTTAAAAATTAGAGAAAAATAAAAGATATTATTCATAGATAGATTGACAAAAGTACAACATAGATATACATAAATAAATCCAATAATCAAATTCAAACAATTAAATTAAAACAATTTTTCTTCGAATTAAAATGAAAAGCAAAGATTTCCGTAGAAATATTTAAACTGCATCTTATTCCTTTCGAAATAGAAATGTCTTATGGAAATGAATCCATTTGCAGAGTTTTAGCAGCGTAAGATCTCAATGAACCGTCTGATCGTGAATGAGCAAGGCTTTGTGGTGGTCGCGCGACATAATGGTAGTGTCGGATCGGTAACGTGTATTTTGGAACACGTCCAGCATGAAATGATAATTCATCGGTATATGCATTATTCGTGTCCTCATTGGGCGTAAAAAGGCGAGTTTGCTCGATTCTTTCGTCTCATAAACGAATTATCCACCGCATTTCGTGATATCGATGAAAAAAAAAACGAGCAATCGACCGGTTGCTCCCGTAATAATGTTACCAATTTATCGGTAATTAAAGGCTGGCACGAGGTACGCTGGGATTCCAGCTTAATTAAACTTTTCTCCATCGTTGGTGTTGATCGTTAAATTAACGTAACGCTATTACGACGTCGTGCACACGTTTGTGAAACGTGAATACTATTTCAGAATTGTTTGTTCTGCGATAGAGAATTTCAGGGATCAAAAATTTGGGGAGAAATCTTGAGGCAAGAGGAAGGAAGAGGTATTTTTGTCAGTTATTGAATTATTATGTGTAACATATTATTTAAAATATTGATTTCGTATAAATATTTTCACATGTTTGGATATTGATTATTAATTTGCAAATAATGTTCGATGAATTTAATTTATATCTCATGAAAATTTTATTATTAGTATGATAGATATTATTCGATTAAAATTTGAATTTAACAATTTTAATATCAACCGTTTAAAAATATTGAAAACTTGATGTTTTTTAATTTGTGATTAAATTGTAATTTATATTTGCAATCAATTACGCGTTAATGCAATTTAATCGAGAAATTATTAATATTATGTAATAATCTCTACCAATACTTTACATTTTTACGTAATCCTTAAAAATTGAAATATTAAAATCTCAATTTTAATTTCAAAAAATTAAATCGTTTATTAAATCGATATTTTACATTAATTTATTTTTAACGAAATATTTATCATTTTATGATTATTTATTCTTCGCGTAATATTTCACGAATTAATAGAATCTAATAGAAATTATAATTATATATATATATATATATATATGTAATAGCTTCCTACTAGAAAAAAACTATCAATTTACAAAATTATACTTCCATATTACAAAAACGATATATATATTCACGATATTATTTTTAAAATCTTCAATATCTATTATATATACACTCTCAACCTGTCCTTTCTTTTTTTACAAATCACCTCGTATACTTCTCCTAATTTAGAACGTTTCGAAGACAATCACGCGCAAGAGGACATCGAGAAATCTGTTCGATGGTGTGCGCGCAAATACGATCCCCCTTGGCACGAGTTTACATGTAAAAGGTGGCTCGTCCTTTGTGCACGCGGCGGACAGGCAGGATCCTATGGGTACGTTCCCATGCAGGCACGTTTGGCAGGGCTGTAACCGTCGATCGACGCGCCCTCTTCACGAAACTTCTTTGTCTCGTTCTTCCCTATCCCGCGAATCGAACGAAACATCGTAAAGTTTATATTCCCAGTTACATAAATTTATTGTTATTAAACAAAAGGTTGTTTTACGTAATTCGAATGTTTATATATGGGTTATCGTTAGCAGAGAATACTATTTTGCGTTCGATCTTACGTAACATTGGTGTCGCACGGGTTTTATATAACCCACGTCGCACAATTCTAACGAATGAGTATTTTCGAGTATATGGTATATTAATCGGTTGATAGATCGCGTGTTCAACGTCCCGCGACAGGAAGAGCTTGTTCGAGGATTCCAAGAAACGTCAGGGACAGTGGTTCCAGTCTTTTATTTTATATCGTTCGATGCAGTTTTCTTACGCGGTGCCCCGTAACGCGTCGCTTCTTTTTTCGTTTCGCGGCTTAAGCCTCGTTTACACTGTTACCATCTGTTGGCAAGGGTTGGGACTTATAAATGATTTGATTTCATCTCTTGCAAGGTAATATAATATTATACGTAAATCACATAGTATTGTTTATGACTAGATTCTGTAGTTATTGTATGTAAATTATAATGTATTAATCTTCTATAAATATATTACACGAGTGCAAGTTGATAATTCATATTTTTTAGGAGATTGATTATTAGTCAGACGTAAGAATAAATCAAAACTATCATATTATTCATTCGAAGAAAAAGATATTTTAAATAATCTAAAAAAATTCTGTTCTATTTGCATTTTTAAAATTTATTCTATGCGTATTCTATTCGTGCGTATATTTGTAAATAAATTATTCTAAAAATTTTTATCCGTGTGCTCATATTCTATTTGTTTCTAAGTTATTTATAATCGAAGGTCAAAGATTTGATTTCTCGCAATGTTTTTGCGAGGTATTCAGCGAACTCGATCGACATTCCGCGTAGTGCGGGATGCTTTCAAATATGCATGGGAAAAAATTGGCTTTGCAAAAAATATTCGAAACATGCGTATTCAATTTATAAATAACACTCGATTTGCGCGATTTTTTCGCAAATTCTCTAAAAATAAAACTATCGGATTTTTTTTATGCAACAAATCATTTAATTTTCTAATCAATGATTTTCTTCAAATATTTTTCATTGGAAATTTTAATAATTCGAATATTATAATAATTAGAAATATTATCCATCACGTTTCAAAAACTCAAATTGTAAAAAAAATTTGTATATGGAAAATATTCGCATTGTTATAATATTATAATAATTCACAATGTTCACAATAGAACGATATATTATCGTATTACATTTAGGTTATATCGACGAATAAGAAGCAATATCATTTTCCCCATATATAATATAATATAATTTTTATCTTTTCAAATATATAAAATTAAGAAACGAAAAGAAAATTTGAAACTTTGAACGTGAATTCCTTTCGAAAACCCTTTTTTCCCGCGCTAATTTGTTCGTCGTTAGTCAGTAACCTCCACAATTCCGTGAGAAACAATTTCCGACACGATGAGAAAAGAACGGGCGCGGAATATCACGGCTCAGCCCAATTGGAGTGGATATTCCAGAGAGCAAGAACGGAGAATTGCCGTGTGAACAGGCCTTTACGCACGCGAATCGCCGCCAGCGGAGACGCACGAGGGCCTTCTTTTCCTTTAAACCTGTACTTCCTCTCTTATGCACAGGCTACCCCAACACAAAGCGGCGTTTTCTACGCGGCTTCGAGCCACGCTGTGCAAGGTCTCCCGTTCGTTTCCCTCCCGCTAGTCCCCCCGATCCTCCCACCGCGCCCCTTGTCCTTTTTCATAGGCGTCATTCCATCCTTGTCGCTCGCACCGTTCTGTCTCAGGGCCCTCGTCGTACCCTCTCGGTTCCTCACCTTGCCCAGCCACGTATTCTTTTCGCCTATGCGAGCGTGTGCACGTGCATACATCGGGTGTCTTCGAACGGAAACGGATTCACTCCTCTACACGAGTTTGTACATCGTATTTGCGTATGGATTAGTCGGATCGTTGGCTTCGCTATATAAACAGTTATTCAAATATTCAAATAGTGAAATTTCCAGGAATTATTTTGGTTTTCTTTTGTTTGGTTTACTGGCTGTGTGTCCAGATTTGATAAAAAATTATTGTCGTCCTTCATCTGATGGTGTATATAGTCACAAAATATATAGACACGTATCCTATTGCTATGCTAGAACGTGTTGAAGGATTGTGAATTAAATGGTCGTTTATAAATAATTCATTGTTATAAAATTAATAAATAATTTGTTGTCATAAAAAATTGTATTGAATTCGTCATGGAAGTAACAAAAGATACATTAAACTGTAATTTCAATACACGATAATATGTATACATACAATATGTATGCATACATATCGATTTTTACGAGTATGCCGCACTGTCGCAAAATGATCGTGAAATTGGAGTATGGTAACCACAGCAGAAATCCATAGCCAAAGTCACAGGTTGGGGCGTCACGTCGCCTCTTGGTAACCGGGCGCCGGCTCCCACTAATCAGACAACAATAATCGAATAATACCTTGCGTATATAACATTCAATTCCCCGTATGCGAAACTACATTACCGGTCTTCGAGTAGTTCTCTTCTCCGAATCAAAAGACACCACCCTGTATACGTGCGTCGGTGTATGCGAAGAGTGCACGGAGAGGTTTGAATCATGTGCCGATACACCAATACACACGGTACGTTGGTGAGAGACGGAGAAAGGGTGCCAGAGTGAGAAAGAACGAGAAGAAGAAGAACGGAGTTGAGTCGAATCGGAGTCGGCTGTTGCCGGCTGCGAGTTTCCCCTCCCTCGATCCTCTACCGCCCCTACCCGGCTTCTCCCCTCCAACCTAGTCGCTTCAATCACCCCACGTCCCTCCGGCGAGTCGACATATTCTCCCCCCTGACCTCTCTATACCCTCGTGCAGCCAAGAGTCGAGTGGTCGGCATCGTCCTCCCTTCGGTTCCCTCGTCTACGTTCTCCTTCCCCCTCTAGATTCGTCGTCTCGCTCTACCCCCCTCTTCCCACGGCTCCTCTCGTGGCGTGCCATGACTCGTGGCGAAGTTTTAGCGTCGCCTACCTCTACTCGTGGCGTGCCTACAACTCTTAGCCGGATCTATTACGCGCAGTTTTCGTGTTCGCGCGACGTTTCATCCTCGCAACTAGTTTTCCGCGTTATCGCAGCCTTTTTTTTTGTGCCCTTCCTCTTACTATTTCTTCTTGTCTGTCGCTTGTCATTTGTTTTTCGTGTGGTACGCGATTCGCGCGGCGTGTGCGCTCGTGCCCGGCTTGCTAGTTTCCAGTGTGTAACACGAGCTCAGTGTGAAACGGCTGACGTCGCTCGTCACGGCATTTTTTTTTAAGCGTCACGCGGGTGAACCGGAAGAAAGAGGCTCGATCTCGCCGGAAGTTGCCGAAGCTGCCGGCCAGCGTGATCCGCAGACCGATTCGCGACGCGCCATCTCCTAACCTCTAAAAGCGTTTTCGCCAACCGTTCTCTGTGACAACCGAACCAAGCAGCGGCTGCGTCCTCCTGCTCTCATCCGTGTGACGTTGTCTTCGATTCGATATTCACGCGGCGTTCGCGCGTTCGTTCACTTCACTTGCCGCGTAGTGCGTGCGCGGAAATCATCGATATCTGTTTTTCCAAGTGACACACCATCACCGATTGCCGGTATAATATTCGCGGGCGTCGCAACGGATCGTGAAACAAAAGAGATAAGGAAATATATTCTAACCTGTGCCTCTCGTTTGTGTGCTTTGTGCCAAGGATATTCACGTGTGTGTACGATAATTACAACATCGCCGATCTTTCTCAGGGAGCACTACGTTTTTTCCTTTGGATACGATCTTCCTTCGCCTGTGGACCACGTCCTACCGTTCCCACGGTTAGTATACAATGTTTGTTATCAAAGCCGGTTGTCGTAGACGCATGCTGCGCCCCTACGCGACGAATAAAGGTGCTTTCGGCCGATCGGAGTCGAGGCGACGTTTCCTCGTGCGCGCGTGCTCCAAAGTCAATGTGTACATACCCCACCGGTCGGTCGCGAGATTCAAGGGCGCATGTCCAAAGACTGTTCACCCGATGCTCCGTTCAAACTTGAAATGCTTCTCCTTTTATTGTAATTACTTGGTCGTATTCGATAAACCTTCGTTATATTTTTTTCTCTCTCGTATTTCAAGAAAATTTATTTCGCGTTCAAATCGTTATATTCGTACTAATCGTAGATGTCTAGGTCACGATAACTGGTGTCGAACTGCGAAATCAAAATATTTGTGCGAGTCTCTGTTTACGTTGCGCGCCGAGATTCATGGTAGACACGCGCATTCCATTACGCGCCAAAACCTTTTCGACGTTTCATGGCATCGCTTGTATGGAAACGAGTTTTGTGAATTCGTTTGTTCTTTCTGTATTTTTCCATCGATTTCATTTTTTTTTTTTAGAACTTGTGGATGAATTTTATGCAAAAGTAGACATTTTTTTCCACATGTTTGAATTTTATTATTATCGCGACGTTGCCATCCATACAAAGGATTTCTATTGTTGCGTTTGTTTGCGTAAGAATGGCGCTTAGAAAGCGGATATTTTGTGGAAGCGTAACTTCTGATGTAATTTAAAGTTGAATATAAAATTGTTGACGAAGATTTAATATCATTAATATTTTTATATAATATTATATAATTTGATTTTTTTTTATCGAAGGTTAGATTGAAATAAAAATTGATATATTATTCAAGAATATAAATATACTATATCGTTATTATCTATACAATTAGAATTACTAATGTTGTTGTTATCTTAAGTACACATATTTTTTACGTCACTAAGACAAATTAGTATTTCCGATAAATTTTTATTATGAAATGGCTATAATATAGTATAAAATAGCATTGCAATTTTTTCATTTTATCGAAACAAAATATTTCCAAATATTTACACATTAATTTATTTATTCAAAACTTTTCCGTTTGTTATTATATATATTATATAGAATTCAAATAATTACATTATACATTTATTTTATTACGATATTATTCGAACAATTATATCAGTACTATTATGCACTCTGCTGATTGCTACATTAGATATCCAATTAACAAATCTTATTTATATATTATTTCATCAGATACAGCCAGTCCAAGGAATCAAATTTCACATACGTTTACAATCTTAACAACTAAACGGGACTAAAGATTCTTCAAACATACAATTCCAGTCCAGACTTTCTCACAATTTCCTTTCTCTGTCCGTTCATTCAGAAATTTCATCGGTCCATTAGCCCATTCGATCGGTCGCGATATCGACGTTAATTAGAGCGAATTATCTCGGGAATTGCCGGAACGATCGTCTCTGTTTTGACCCATTAAATCGTTGTTAGGCCGCGATATCCGCGATATCTCGCAGTGGGCGGAATAATGGTACTCGTCGGCTATAAAGGGCAATATAGTCTGTGGTCATAGTACATAACAAATATCAGGATGAGAAAAGAGAGCACAGTAATGTCTTTTTTCGATAAATTTCCCAAAATTTTTGAAGTAACCGGCAGATTTTTGATCTCGAGATCATATTTAATTCATCATTTAAATTACAAAAATTGACAAATTGGAAAATCATGAATTTTCATAAAAATTAGCATAAAAACGACGTTTATGATAACGATAGAAAATTCTCTATTTTGAATTTTGCATTTTTGACAAGATATTCGAATTCGACGCGTGAGAAAATATTAGAATAACGATTTTCAGGAAGATCAAAATGGACGAAATTATGAATCTTGGCCAGCTTTTTCCAGAAGAGGCACCACTGGGCGAAGATCTCTTCTCGTGTGGAGCCAATAGACTCGCACGTGGTGCCTCGCCAATATGTTCGGTTGAAAAAGTATCGATCTGAGACTCGGCCGAGATATTTTCACGGCGGCAGCAGCCTGCTTGGCTGACCTGGAGGAAAGAGATTCGAGGACTTAGGGTTGTTTGGAACTAGGGAACTGGAAGTTGCTTCTTGGAGTGGAGGGGTGTTCGGTACGTGAGACCTTTACGGGATTATGTTTGCCGTGTTGGAAGTTCTCCTTTTGTGTACATTATATAGGGGGTATTTTTTTTTCTTTTTATGATTTTTTTTCTATCGTGAGATTGTAAAGAAAGATGATGGAAGGTTTAAGATCTATCAATGGAATTATTGTTGAAATTACACGGCAGATATATATTTTCTTTTCTTAATTTTTTTGAAAAAATTTTTTTAGATATATTTACGACGTTCAGAGGTGAATAATGGTAATGATTATTAAACTTAGAACGTAAATGTATATGTGTCTATATTTCTCTAGAAATTTACGATCTTTTGGATTTTCATAATCAAACACAGTATTTGCAATTAGAGTTTTTTCGATCGTAAAAATTATTAATAAACCTGCTCGAATGTCGAAATGTTAAAATATTTGTATTTAGATTATTATCTCGGTCGATTTTTTATTCGATGAAGAAAATAATATCTAATAATAAGATCTATTATAAGAATAATAATAACGGACACGTGTCTTTTTTTAATGCACGATTTTTCACCTAGTTTCCTACTTTCTTGGAGTTAAAAAATTATTTGTTTTAATCAATATATCGTGCTACTGAGAAGAAGAAAAAAGAAAAGAATTATCTGTACAGGGTACATCACAAGTTTTATCATTAGATATATTAATTACATAGAGGCCATCGTTAGTCGATGTATGCATATTTTTGCAGAAAATTTATAGAAAAGAATAATAAAGAAATTGCTCATAAGAATTCTATTTTGGATATAAAGTTTTACATCATTATTATTTTGCTTTTGTATAGAAGTTCTTTTTATTAATTCAGTAAAAGAAAGCAATAAAAGTTGTAACATGAACAAAATTTAATGACGTAAAACGTATATATTTATATTGTATTTCTATTAGTGATTTTGCCCATATGCAAATATATACATTCACGAATACGATGTTTCTAGAGATTACCATCGTAAAATATCTTTTATCCTCTAAATTTATTTTAATTTATTTACACGTATTGAACCTATAAGTATTTGACCGAATCACTTGAGACACATACATATTTATTTTACGTCGAAAGTCTTATTTAATTTCAACGTTCACACGAAAGCGTGACCAACATTCTCAGCAAAATAAAATCTCCAATTTCTAGCAGTGGAGTGAACATATTCGTTTCATGAAAGCGATAGTTTAAAGAGATAGTTTTATGAGAATTGATATTTATAATCGCGTTTATTTTTTGCATATTGAATCAACCTAAAATTGGTCAATATCAAATTAATTTTGTAATAATTAAAAATTGTTGAAGTTAATCTGAAAAATATCCAATCATATTCAATATATTTTATTGAAAATTAATAAAAACAAGTCGATAATTTTTGACACGTATATTTATATATTTCACTCTTAATAATAATTATTTAATTGTTTAAGAAGAAGATAGAATGATGCATGGTGAAAAATTATATGTTGAAAAATTAAATACTGAAACACTTCGAGAGAGAAAAATCGCAACAATTTTTCTATTTTTCTTATTCGAATCCATATAATCACGTTAAATTTTTAACATTAAATTTTGTATATCTCCTTTAATTTTATCGTATTTCTGGCGAATTTAATAAAAAAAATCAGTATTTGATGGTTGATTCAAAAAGGAAATAAAATTCGACTAGCTTCGTCTGGCAAGCGAAATTTAGGATAATGTTATAAATAATTAAAACTGTTCGAGCTAACAAAGTCGAAGCAAAGTTGAGTATAAATTGTATTAATACGTGTTGGAACTTGGCAAGTTTTGCGCCTCGATGAAACTCGAAACTCGACTCGAAGAAGATCGATCGATATATTCTCGTTGTAATGCTATTCTTTAATTCGTGGGGGAAATATTATTGAAATATTTTTTAATTGGATATTTAATTTAAAGCTTGAATGTTAATTCAATTGAATGTAGAAAAAAAAATTGATTAAACATGAATTCATTTTTTTTTTTTTTTTTTTTTTTTTTTTTTTGATACATTTTTTGATATTTAATCGGAAATTTGGTTAAAAATGTAATTCGACTGAATTTAACAGTTGTGGTCACGACCATTCCATTAGCACGTGTAACATGGTGGATATTTCAGTTATTTCACGGGCGTTTGAAATGAATTTCTAATTTTGATACAGTTTTGGAATTGTATGAAATTGGACGTAAAATATGTACGAGCTCGACAAAATTTCATGTGTTAATTGCATAGTGGTGAGTGCGAAAATATCGTTATATTTCGCAAGCGCGTTTATACTTGAATTAACAAATTATTTTTTCATAAACGGATATGGATTATATTTTATTCAATTTTTTCCCCTCAAACGATTCAACGATGCTCTAATATTTTTAAAGCAGCAACGATCTATTCTAGAATAATTCCCAAATAAATTTTCTCCTTTTATTCTAAATTCTAAAATTTCCAAATTATATAGTTTTCAATCATAAATATTTCCAAACTTCTCCTTCCCTTAATTCCAATTACCAAAATTTTTCAAATTAGTTTCTCTAATTTTCTCAAAGCAACTTCTTCTCCAAATAAGTATTTCCAAAATTTTCATTCAAATTAATTTTCCCTCCAATTCTCGACCTCCAATCTCTTCTTCCCAACAATCCCCAAATAAAAATCACAAACGGGGAGGGAAAAAAATCCCAAACTCCTGTCAAATTTCCAAAACCTTCAAAAATTAATTCTCAAACCGATCATTTTCCTATACAAAATACCTTCCCAAATAAATTTTCTCGAAATTTCCTCGAAAATCCCCGTCCTTCCCTTTTCTCAAACTTCCAATTCCCAAAATTTCCAGAAACAAATTTCCTCCTTCCCCGCCTACCTTCTGCTCCCTTC